TATGGAGAGCAGGGATGTACAGAGAAGTTTATGGAGTTGTCACAAGTAACATACAGAGCACAACACACATCAGCTACTGCCACTGGAATGATATCAAGTGACAAAATAAGAGCTCTTCAAGAGTATCAATTCAATTGTTCATCCACTAATATAACCAGTCTTATATTGGGTATTGATGTAAGGAGAGCTACTGGTAGTATTAATTTATTTCCAAGTGTTAGAGTTTATAGACCTAATAGCAATGATCCTGGGAAGTATGATCTAGTGACTGGTAGTGAGAGAACTATTTATTATTCTACCTCTAATGTCAGTACTAGTGGAGTGTTTGAATATCTACTCAATCCTCCTATACCAGTAATGAGTGGAGAAGTTGTGGCAATAGTACAACCTCTTGAGGAAGAGAGTGTTGTCAGAGTCTATTACATTGAAGATGTATCTGGAATCAGTTTCAGTAGCAGTTCAGAAATATCAATTAGTCCAAATCAAATTGATTTAGGTAGCTCACCAACCACAAACCAGTTGATATTAGTATATCCAGTAACAGGTAAGACACACGCTCACTGTATCGTTGAATTATTTTACTATCATTAGATGGATACTGTGTTAATAGTACCAATTCAATCACTCCCTCAGTTATTCGAGATAATTTTTTAACAATCCAAAGTAGCAGAGCTATTGATGATAGAAGGCAGTATTTATATCCTGAAATTGTGTTCTTATGTAATGGATCCCTCACTAAATGGATATATGGAGGAGTGAATAACAATAACATTAATTCACCTGAGTTCCAAATATGGCGTCAACTGGGTACCAATAATTACAATAAAATAGGATTTAGTTCAGCTAACGCTAATACAATGATTGGTACTAATCTCTATGAGTTTATTCCTCAGACTCCACTGCAGTTCCAGGAAGGAGACATATTTGGTGTTCATATTCCTAAAGAAAATAAAATTGAATTTTTTCTATATGAGCAGGTAGGGAATGGACCTCTTAATGAACGAGTCAATGCTAATGCTGATGATCCTTATTCAACAATAACTCAAGCACTTGTAACAGACTCAAATAATGATTTCCCATTAGTCACTGTAGAAGTATCAAGTAAGTTATTGATAATATTTATGTTTTATTATGATTTGTATTCAGTCTCAGTGACATCTACTAGTGTTGCCTCATCAACAAGTACAAGCCCAGTCATTAGTACAACTTCTGTAATAATGACTTCTACAGCACTTACCACAGCTACTATTAGCACTACTGATAATACCATCATATCATCTACAGTGGTGTCCATCATTCCTAGTAGTACTTCATCTATACTGGTCACTACCACTCCTAGTTCATCAATGACTACTGTTACTCCTCCTAGTACCTCGTCTATTATCAGTATAAGTGATAATTTTAATCCATCACTTTTGTCACCTACTTATTCTAGCAGTTTGTTTGATACCACTCCATTTAGTTCAACAGTGATCATTGCTACTGCTCCCAGTGACTCCTCAGTTATTGCTACTACTGCAACTACTACTGCCCCTAGCAGTACCTCTGTGATGACTAATACTGATGCCACTTCAACATCAGTTGCTACTTCTGCCTTTAGCAGTACCTCTGTGATGACTAATGCTCCTCCTAGCAGTTCATCAGCTACTACTCCTCCTAATACTGTATCTGCGACTTCAACTGGATCTACTGCTTCTAGCAGTTCATCTGTTATCACTGGGGCTACTACTCCTTCTAGTAGTTCAACTGATAGCATAACTAGTTCTTCTCATGCTGTAACTTCATCTCCTACCGCAAGTCCTTCAGTGATCTCAAACCCTTCAGCTGACAGTGGTGCTTCTACAGTGATTGCTGTAGTCATTAGTATATTAGTGTTATTTATAGCCACCAGTGTGGGTATCATTATTGTCTTATTGCTTGTTATGAAGAAGAGGAAGAAACGCTACACAGATCGTGTGACATTGCTTACAGCATCATTTAGCGCTTCAAGTAAAAAAACACTCACATCCCATATACAATTTAACATGCTCCATTTATGATGCTGGTATGTAAACTGTCTTTCTTTATTAGGTACATTACGTAGTGAGGGAGGTTATACTATTAACAATGTGGTGTATGATGATGTAGACAAGTTATCAGGGCCTGTGACTTATGACCACTATGAAACAGCACCTGATGTCCCAGTAAGCAGAACAATACTTCTTTTTTACATGTATGTCTTTATAACAGCAGAGAGGATCTACTGTTTCTAATCCACTTTACAGTGATACTAATATGGTTAGGCTTATAAAACTATACTTCTTTTTACATGCATGTTTTTATAGCAGCAGAAAGCATCTACTATTTCTAATCCACTTTATGGTGATAAGGTTAGAAATTAATTTTATTGAATTCATGCCATGTATCTATATCCACTCCTCTAGTCATTTGAAGCAGCAGCAGTAGAAACTGCTTATGAAACGCTAATAACAGACAAGAAGTCCTCACCATTCGATGTAAATAAATGAATATAGTTATGTGAATTAATTTAGTTTCACCAAATAAAATTTACTATGTAAAGCTTTAACCTTATCTTTTACAAATATTGATACATATTTATGGCTTTATCATCAAACTAATGTTTTATGCAGGATATAAAAGTTGAAAGACAATTACCAGACGATCAAATCAATATTTATGATGAATTAAATGTAAGTAATTTAGCTAGTTGTGGAAATGAAATTTGTATACTTAATGATAGAATCAATCAGCCTCACCATCAGCCAAAAGTAATGAAGAGCCACATTACTGGGCACCTGGTGATGACACTAGCAGTATATATCAGCAAATGGAGTCAAAGGGTTACAAACAGCTAAAAAGAAATGATATAAAGTATGAAGTATTTTAAAAATAAGATAATAATTATTATCATTCAACAATAATAGAATTAGTAATGAGTTAGGATCTGGTGAGTTTGGTACAGTCTATGAAGGAATGTGGTTATCAAAGCCAGTTGCAATTAAAACGCTAAAGAATAGTTCCGAGGAGCAAGATAAGGTCAAGTTTCTTCAAGAGGCAGCCATTATGGGTCAGTTTCATCATCCTAACATTGTCAAGTTACATGGAATGGTCACTGTTGGAGAGCCAGTGAGTTAATTAATATAATTAATAATTATTTTATTATATTGAGAACAGTTGATGATAGTACTGGAGTTAATACCTCATGGAGACATGAGACAATACCTTCACACTCTCCAACCACAGTATGTACTATCAG